TTTTGCTTTGAAGTAGAGACTAGCCCAATTATATTTGAAACATTTCTGTGTTTGAAATTTAGTTCATGAATTATATCTTCTTGGCAATATTGTCTCAGGTGAACAACTTGATTTGTGTTGAGAGATTCTCAGATTTTGCATAACTTGGAAGGTTTACTCTTTGAACTGAAGGTTCATGAATTACCCTTGGCATGCCGTGTGTAATTTGGATTACTGTGTCTACAGGAAAAACAGTTGCAGTGGGAAAAGTCATGGACATTCCTTCAAGTGCGAGTGCATAAAAAGGTTTTGTTGTTAGAGGTGAGAAATTAAATTTATAGTTCATTTTGGAAAGCACAATCTCTAATGGGATATTTAATGAATGGCTAATTCACTCTTGACAGGAACGTCCACCGGACTTTCCTTATGAATGGATGTAAGTTGCAACACAGAATCATCTTAAATGATGTTGCTCCATTAACAATATATTGATGTCTTGTGGAGAGGTGAGCCACCGGAGCCAAAGGTGCTAGGCATTGGTACTTTTGATATACTTATGGGTATTTAATGTTTAACTTATACACCCATTGGCATTTTTGGAATACATGATTGTAATACATGGTTTTCACATCAGTTTGTTGGAAAATATTTAGTTCTGATTTGGGCATTGCTTGCTATGAAAGCATTTAGTTTGTCATATAGGTTTTGGTACAATATTTGAGTGTAAAAACTTATTTACTGCCCTTTCATCGTCTATGGTATCCTGGTGATAAATTGAACTGGCTGATAGAATACAAAGTGATAGCCTTGCTGTTATTTTGCATTATTTGGTAAGAGTACATTTAGCCATCTAGTCACAACTTATAACTCGAGTTAGAACTACTAATAAGCAAATGCCGTCTTAGTTAGAGTATAAGTGTTGAGGTTAATATTTAAAAAAATTAGTTTCTTTGAATGCACCAAATTAATGTAAGGCACACCTTTAAGATAATCAAGAAAGAAATTAGTCTAGAATTACAAATTGTTTTGAAGGTACTCTTAACAGTAAATACCAAAAATAATCTGCAACCTAATTTGCCTGTCTAGTAATATATACAAAACATCAAGAAGGAAAATTGGCTGAAAGCATCGAGGTGGAGTGAGCCACTGGCATAATTTGCCAAGGGCGAGGTGAGCTCTCTATTAATCACATGGATTAGCATTCCTGTTATTAGATGAACTTCCTTTTGTAAATATGTTGGCAGCTTGAACTTTTAATAGATGAAAATTATTAGGCGAATTAGCGTCATAAAGATGCTAATTTAGCTTCAATGTGCCATTAACAATATGGTTATGGTGAGAAAAAAAATATTTTTTAAAAAAAATTTTAAAAATGACAATTAATTTGTGATAAATTTTAAGTTAAAAAAAAAATAAGTTTTAGGAAACCAGGGGAGTATGTGATTTTTCACAAATACCGTTAC